CCTCATCACTCTGCCATATGTTCATTATGTATTAAGGCCAATTTTCTCCTAAATGTACTTAAAAATGACGTGATTTATTTCAAGTGCAACATTTGGAAACATTGAAGAAATGATTGTTTTGGCAGTGACTGGTGGGAAAGGGCAAAAAAGGGGCACATAATGGAGCAGCAATGCGACAGGACCAGAGCGCAGAGATGCAGGGGAAAGAAATATGAATCCATGTCTCTTATTAATGGAAGTTAAGGAAGCCATCAACATCTTCAGGAATTTTCCATAACCATAAATAAAATTCAAGATAGCATGTATGTGGGTTTTACAAAAAGAGACGAAAGCCAGTTCCCAAGGTTGTCACATTCTAGTGGATCCATGGGTGATAGGCCTGTGCTTTCTACTTAAATTTATGAGATCTGTCTACTGCCTGATACCAGAATGATCTCCATTGTTGTGAGATCTGTGTTCAGCAATACTTTAAATTGGGTCAATTCAAGGGAACAAACAAAAAATTAAGGGAAAACAAAATATATGGCTGGGGTGAACAATGGCTGACTTTCTATCGTTTAAAGGACCAATGTTGGTTTGTTTTCTGAACTCTGTGGTCTTAAGCGTACAACTTAAAGTCACACCAAAAAGTTGATGGAACCTAATGCTGGCAATCTCCTGAACCATTTTTTCTTAAGTCCATGACTAAGAAGAGTCCCCATAACATCCCCTTCCTGCCATTTTGGATTTGCTGCCATCTTGTCCAGTGAAAAGCTGAGAACTTGAAACCTTACCTCCATGTGTTATTTCATCTCTGAGTTGATAACATAAAACTATTGCTAGATGTGGCTTTTGAAACTCCTTGTTGCTAACTCAACACAGTTACCTTTACTATTTGCTATAGCTATATGGAAGCACTATTCAGAAGCAACAGGTTACCAACAGTTGCTGAGCAACAGCAGCAACAGCTGTAGTCTTCATGCTCCATTTATGGGCTTCCTGGAGATATCCAGATAACTTGCTGTGGATAACAGGCTGCATAACTGGATGGGTCACTGGTTTCATCCAACAATGCTCTTATGTCCTTCTGACTTAGAAAAAGAACAAAGGATTGGACTACAGAGACAGAAGGAAATTTGATTGTCAGTAGCTGAATTACATATATGGAAATACTGTGTATATAAGTCTTCCATTAGAGCAAAACCCAAAACTTATTTGTGCTGGTCTGGGACTCACTAACAGAAGAAGTTGTCTATGTCTGTATACTGAGCATAAAAAAGGAGTTGAGCATAAATAAATCCTAACAATATACAACCACCTTTTCCATATCTGTCACCAACCTGCTAGTTGGTCTACCTCTCTTTCCTTTGGAGGGTTACTAGTTAAATAAAGGAAAGATCCACCCCAAAAAAGCCACATTCCCAATTTTATATCAGAATTAAATGTCAAGAAAGATGGACCCTAGGTAGACAAGAGACGTAACTGTGAATTAGGAATCCTGATGATCTGAATGTCACTAGGCTGCCCCAAACTTAGCAAGATACCTCAGATAAGACACTGTATCAGCTTCAATCCCCCTAGGAGGCCAGTAAAATTAGTTTATTCTATCAGCAACCATCATAAGTAACAAGAGAACATGGCTAGCTTCTTCTTTATAACAAATCCCAATTTGAAAACATGATTTGTTCTTGGCTGACAAATCCTGGATTCTTTTAGCCATGACTTGCTTTGACTCCATTCAGAATCCTTTTTTTTTCCTCTCCTTATTTTTGCAATTGTCCATTTCTTTTGGGTAACGGCAGAAGAAATGGATAAACCAAAACTGACCATGAAAGGCTTAAATACCTCGCTTGCTTGAAAGACTAACTGTCTGGTTCAACACATTATGATTACAACAAATCTTGGCCTAGTGTTGTGTGCAGATGCAGCCACTATGGAATTTCTTGAATATATTACATAATTACTGCATTTATTTTGCATAAAGTTTAAACACAGAGGGACTGTGAAAGGAAATTGTAAAATAATACAGGATTTAGAATCAATAATAATAATAATAATAATAATAATTGTGCCACATAAAAAATTGTCCACATGGAATGTTATCAGTCCAGATTTACCTAGACTTTCGAAGTGAGAAACCTTTGCTGGTAGCAACTGTTGCACAAGAAGAATAAACACTTTCTTGAATTTGGAAGAAAGAAAACAGCAGGCCTTCCACATATAAAATACCACTGAAAGGTTAGAATATGTCTTATGAGGACAGAATTAAACTTTGAAAATGTTTGGATCCCGTAGCTGTGAAAACAACAGCAAATCCATGGAAGACGGAATGTTATACAATAAAAAACAAATGTTTCTATTCAAAATCTGATACTGAATCAGCATTAATCTTCCCAAAGGTCATTGGCTGGTTTTTTAATTCATCCTGAAAACAGTTACCACTTACAGATGTTTTACATTTTGGAGACTGATACACACACATACCACACGCTGGGATGTCTAGCATCTCTCCCTGCAAACTAAGAATTGCCAACAGCATGGCATTCCTCTTTTTCAGTGGCCTATTTCCTGCTGCTGCTGCTTCCTCCTCTTCCTCCTCTACTTCCCCTTCCTTTAAAGATATTGTTGTGCAAAAAAGACACAACAACACTTGATGGAGTGACGGAACTGATTCACTTTCCCAAAAGAAAGCTCCAGATGAGGTGCTTGGAGCCATCTGTGGCTAAAAAAGGAAAAGACCTCTTTGAGTCAAGCTTATGTCCTGGTGACTTCATGGACATATTTTGGAAACGTTATGGAAATAATTTGTCATTTGTTCCTTCTAGGGCTTTTTTTTTTTTTTTAACTTCTCGGACTAGCTTATATCCCTGGATTTTCCTAGTGGTTTCTCATCCAAGTATTAACCTGGTCCATTGTTGCTTAGCTTTGGGGGGATTAGCCAAGATTGGGATACATGCTGCCACTTGCATATGCAATTATGTGTGAACCCTTCTATTTAAAATAGTGTTGTTAGAACAGTTCTGCAATATGATAATCTCTATGTTAACTATTAAATATTGCAAATATGACAATATGTAAATATGACACCTGGATTGTTCAACATTCTCAGAAATAAAAAAGTTCTTAATTTTAATCTGTTACCACCCTACCAAGTTCTATTTTATTTGGAACTTGCCAAAGCTCTAACCGAATAAAGGGAGAACAGAACCAGGTCTTTAGAAAGTCAGGACGTGAATCTGAGCTTCCTCAACAATTTTTCCATGTTTGCTGACTAGCATCTAAGATGCTACTTGTGATTCAACATGTGGCATGCAGCTATTAAGATTAGTAGCCATCAATAAATATAAAATATGGGGTTGCATTCAGTACTAGAGCATAAAAATAGAAGCATACACTTTCAGTCATCACTCCCACAGTGATTTAGCACACTATCCTTAAACACAGGAATGCATTACCTGCAAGATGCTTCCAAAAGCCTCAGGCGTAGCTGTCCAAAGCCGTACCAAGTTTTGCTACCAAATGATAATGTTTGAAGTAATTTAAACGTTTTGCAAAGCTGGGCTGTTTTGGTTCTGACCTCGACCACCATTTCTTTGTCTTGACTTCTCCCCCCTACGTTTTGGAATGAGGCTTATAGGATGCCAGCACTCTGGCTAGAAAAAAAGGTGCAAACCCTACTTTGAGTGACAGCCTCCTTGAAGCATGAATGCCTAGCCCAAACCAGGCTGTAAAACATTAAACCACAAGACCGTCTTTAAAATCTTGGTCTTCAGGAGATGCAAGAAGACAATCTATTACTTATCAGGTCTCACAATCCAAATTCCAGCCAGTTTATCAAGTACACGTATAAAAAAAAAATCAAAACACAGAAAGCTATTAAAAGCACAAAGTTGCCCCAAAATACCTAATCAAAACCAGTTTTGATAAAATACAATTATGCTGATATTCATTATTTTCTCCAACACTGATGAAAAGAAATGAGAATCCCATGGTTTCTAAGGCAGCATTCTCAAATCAAATGAGTTGGGGGAAAAGACATCTGGAAGGGATTTCAAGTTTCCATGGTAAACAAGGAAGGTAAATTTAGTTTCCCGCATCTTTTGGAAGGAAATACAAATCTATTTCTAAAATACATAAAACAAAACAATAGACATGGGAAAGTAGTACACAATTCACATTAAGTATATAAAGAACTGGATCACTTTTAATGTGTGTGCTAACATTTAGCCAAGTTTAGAAAACGTTTCTTTCTTCTCTGTTTAATGAGTGATTACATCAGCCTTCTCCACACTGGTGTCCTTCAGACACATAAGGACTACAGCTCCCAGAATTCCTAGGCAACACAACCACATTATGGGGGAACGTTGGTTAGATAGCAATAAGCTGATTCACTTTGGAATCAGTTCCAGTTATTTAACCACATGCAAAGTTACTACTACCCTTTGATAATGAGAATTTTAATTACTGCTTTTAATTATTTGGTTATGCTGTATATTGTCCTGATTAATTTTATTATAAGGATTTTATTGCTAAAACATGCTGGAAATCTTTCTGGTTAAGGGACAGTAGAGATAAATATGTATATGGATAGATACACCATTTGGATGGATATGATAAATAATACAGTTTTCATCCATGAAGTCATGGGTATGTGGGTTTCATTAGGCATGCTCTGAGAACTACCGTATTTTTCCGACTATAAGACGATACTTTTTTCTAAAATCCTTACGCTTAAAATTGAAGGGT